GCGAGGCGCTGGGTCTCAACGGGACGTGCTACGAGTTCAGGTGAGTTCTCAGCCCCGTCGGCTCCCCGCAGGGACAACCCCCCCCGGCTCTCCGCACCAGCACCGGTTGCTTCGGAGATTGGCAAAAGCCAGGGGAAGGTGCTCAGCATCCAACGGGAATGGGGCTGGGAAGGGGCGGTGTAACATTTTGGGGGGCGCTGGGATGAGATGGGGCATCATCCTCCGTCCCTACGGCCAGATCCCACCCCGCAGACGGCTCAGCAGCGGAATTTGGGAGCTGCCTTGGGTTGAGCTTTTGGAGCTTGACCTAAAGTCACGGGAAATGGGTTGGGCTCATCCTTTTTAAGTCCACGGGATCTCTAGGAATGGGTGTGAAATTCCAAGCAAAATGTCTCGGACAATTTTATCCCCGTTCCTTCGGCCGCCAGCTCTCGCCGGCGCAGCAGAAGGTTGGAATTTGGGTTCCTCCAGGCCCTGCTCAGCATCTCTCCCCCAGAGTTCCTCCAACACCAGTTTTCTCACCTTTCTTCAGATCCGTGGGGTCAAAGCCATATCCCAGGCATTTGGGGATCCCCCATTCCGTGCTGATCAGGACATTGTGGCGTGGCTGGTACCAGAAGTCGTAACCCATCGGGGGGATCTTGTCCCCTTTCTCCCAGTTGCCCTTGATCTCGAAGGTCTCTCCGTCCAGCAGGATGAAGCCGCCTGATGCAGAAACCCCGGCGGCAACAAGAAAATTGCCCAATTAACAGTTTGCGTGTTAAAAAACAGCTGCAGACTGGGCTGGGAGCCCTGGATGGAGCCTCCCAGGACACCTCGGGATTTGGGGCCCCAGCACCCTCTCCCTGGGAGACCGGGGCGGAGGGCTGGGGTACCTTTCCCGCTGCCGGCCGGGTCTCCCAGGGTGCTGATCATGATTTCACCGCTGCCCAGGCAGTGGGAGGTGTGCGGGTAGCCCAGGTTGCACTTCCAGAAGACGTCCTCCGCGTTGATAACCTGTCGGGAGGTCAGGGATAACGTCACCTCCTCCATGCCCGTGGTGTCACCCCGTGGGGCAGCTCCTGCCTGCCCTCGAGATGGGACCAGCCGTGCAGCCAGTGGGGCTGAGCGTGAGCCGGGGCAGAGCCGTTGGGGAGACAGGACAAGGGGTGACGGGTTTGAACGGAAAGAGGGAGATGGAGATGGGCCATCAGGAAGGAATTCTTCCCGCAGAGGGTGGGGAGCACTGGAACAGGTTCCCAGAGAAGCTGTGGATGCCCCATCCCTGGGAGTGTCCAAGGCCAGGCTGGATGAGGCTGGGAGCACCCTGGACTATGGAAGGGGTCCCTGCCCGTGGCAGGGGGTGGGACTGATGGGGTTTTAAGGTCCCTCCCCACCCATTCCATGATTCCCTGTATCCTGTCAGGGCCTGTGTTGTACATCCTGCTGTCAGGCTGTAGCTCACGGAGCACAAAAGGTCTGTAACAGGTTTAAGGTCCCTTCCCACCCAAACCATTCCATGATCCTACAACACAGGCTGTGAAAGCCTGACAGGCTGGTCCCCTCCTCGATGGAGAGCTCAGCATTTGCAGGAAAACGGGCAACTTTCCCAGCATTCCCGTCTGCCATCCAGACCCAGGGTCCTGCGAAGCCCTTTGGTGCACCCCAAAACCTCTTTGCCCAGCTCTTCCCGTAGCCAGAGGCCACGATCCCAGACCTTTCCCCTTTAACATGTACCGGCACCACCTCCAAGGTACCTTGAAAAGCCTGGGAGCTCGCGGGTCGGTTCCCACGTCCACCACATAGATGCGGGAGGAGATGAGGCTGGGGAGGATCAGGCGGTCACGCTTCTTGGCGGCGTCGCCGAAGCAGCTGCTGCAGGCGTTCCACCCCGAGTGGTGCAGCTCGTCCCCCACGTTGGGCATGGCCAGGCGGTGGATCACCTGTGAAATCACCCCGCTTTAGCCCGGTCCTCGCTCTGCCGGATCACAGACCGGGAGGAGCTCAGGGCATGGCGGACGCTGCCGCGGGCTCGGACCACAGCCCACGGGGGATGCAGGGGACGGGGTGTGCAGGGGGTTTTACAGGTGTTTCGGAAGCGCAGGAAGGCTGAGAGTCTTGGGGAGAACTGGACAGGGCTCAGGAGGGTGAAGGACAAACCCTGAGCTGTTGCCCAGGACAGTTTAGTACCAGGATAGAGCGTTTGGTACCTGGCAATAGCGGGGAGATTTGGGGTTGACATCCACCGTGGCCAGAAAATCAGGTTTCTTCCTCCCAGTGTTCCTGTAGATGCAGGGCACGTACACGATCTCCTCCCGGGGACCTTTTGGCACGGCAACGTTG